GCCGTTTTTGAGGCGAAAATGACGAACATGACGTCACTAAAACGTCAATTTATCAAAAATTTTCCGACGGATTTCGCTCAAATTTTCAGGGAACGTGTCAAATTGATGTCAGAAAAGGTACTGAAAGTTTGGCGGCGCTGCGCGCCGCCGTTTTTGAGATATCGCAAAAATTCGCGAGGGGGGTAAAATTTACCCCCCCCCAGCCCCGCGCGGGTTAATCTAAGGAAAGACTACGCTCGCTTCGCTCGCTCCGTAATGAAATGATAATCCATTAAATGTGCAGACACTTGACCCAGTCCTAGACCAGCAGCCAGAGGTCACGTTCCCAATGAACTTTCCAATATTCCTCCAAGATTATTATTCACTATCACCTCCCTGCGTGTAAATTTTCGCTCAAAACCGAGCCTTGCGTCCATTGCTGTCAAAATATCACCTCACATCTGACTTGGGTGAAGCCTTCTGGAACCAGCTAACGAGGTGATTGATAGAAGTCGGTCGGGTTTGAAATATCCGAGTTGTGGCAGCTATCGAGACGGGATTTCCTGCCTAAGGAGTGCCAAAGCATTATCAAATCAACTGTCGTGGGTACGCAAGAGGTCACCGCCACTAAATTAGCACTGCGCCGCTTGGAGACGCGACCTGCAAGAAAACCAGGCTTTGTTCACTCTAATGCTCATTTTTCATTGGTTGATTCCGAGTCTAATTTCAGGGAAGGAAGAATAAAACGTGGGACTGTTACTCAAATCAGAACCGTCCACATTGAGGTACCCATTTCTCTTGAAGAGCTAATAGCCCAATCTATGCAGACTATTGAAGAGGCATGCAACAGGTTCATTGCACACATCACGATTAAACAAGCACTTATGTCAACTTCGCTATGCACAAATGCAGATACAGCCTCACACCAGAGGCAGACCATGTCATGTTCTTCACACCGAGGTGGCCCCGAAGACATAACACGTGGCGATAATCCATGTACCAAACGGTATAACAGCGCAGCACCCCCGGGTGGCATAACTCTTCGAGAGTTATCCGTTTATACAGCACATGCGACGTCTTAATCGGACACTGGAGGATCCCGCTCGGTTCAGCCCTCAGCCGTCTCCTCGGCGGTGGAACCCGGGACCCGGACCTGGCCGGGTTATCAGATGTAGCTGCGGCGGACGGACGGCCACTGTGACAGCAATGAGACTCCATTAGGATATCAATGGACAGCGCTGACACGGCGGACACGAGCGCCGGCCGACGGAGGGACATTCCATTGCGAGAGCGCGCCGCACGACCCGGCCAGAGACGGAGCCTCGTGTGATGGAGCCCCGCCAGAGACCGAGCCCCGCGGGACGGAGCCCGCGGAGCAGCGGCGGATCTAGCCAGGGAGTTTGGTGAGGCGCCGCCGCCGCCACCGCCGTCGCGGGATGGAGCCTTGTGGAGCTGCAGTGGCGGGTCCAGCCAGGGGTTTTAGGTGATGGGACACCTGTCGCATGGCTGAGCGCGGGAGACAGAGCCTCGAGCTGCACAGGCGGATACAACTTCAATGGAAACGGGCAGCCGCACAACCGCTCCACCGCGAGAGCTGTAGCCCCATAGAGCTCGCGAGGCGGATCCAGTCAGAGTTTTTAGAGGGGTGATAAGACACCTGTTGCATGACCGGACGAGACGAATCCCTGCAGCGTTGCATAGGAGGATGCAGCTTCATTGCAAGGGGTAGCTGAAAGATCTCGCCATGCAACTGGCGCGCAACGGAGCCCCACCTCGTTGCAAGGTAGGATGCAGGGATATTACAAATATGTCTGCAATGTGGGAGATTTGGGAAGCCACAGAGGCAGCTCCAGGTCCACTGTAGGAGGACTACTGGAAAACCCGGCGCACGAGCAGTGAAGACTCCATGGAGGTAAGGGGCCGAATGTTGGTCCACTGCAATGGACCTCTGCATTGCAACGCCAGAGAGCTGTGAGTGTGACCTTTATTTCCGTGCCACTCCAGACAACACAGAATCTCCCCGGAGGCGACGTCACCTTTCACCTTTCGCCACCGCACCGCCTGGGATTCCCACACAATATCCCAGACCCAGACGCTTGCCAGACACTTGCCAGGAACTCTCCAGACACTCTCCAGACACTTGTCAGACGCCAGGCAAAGGTGTCAACGAATTCTTCGTCGGAGCTGCTGCTTCTAAACGCCGACTGCCAACAGACGTTGTTGCTACTGCCGTGCAGTTGTCGGGAAAGCCAGAAGAAACAGACGCAGAAACAGAAGTGGTAGAAGCATGCAGTTTGAGTAGAAAGTTGTGCCAGTAGAAACAGAAGCGAAGGCGGTAGCGGTAGAATCGAAAGGTCGTAGGGTTTCCATGGATACAGTGGCATCTGATGAATGTGAAGGAATAAGTTATGACTGACCGTGGTGTAACCTAGCACGTTACTCTGCCAGACACCATGTCTAGACGTCCTCTCCAAAAGCAACACTGAACATCTGCGCAATGCAGCCTGAAGGTGTTGATTGTTTGAGACAGTAGATTATATTATCTCATATAATTTCGTTTCTGCTCATGTAAGCTGCATTCTGTCATTTTCCATACCATTCCAGAATGTTTATTGCGTATCAGCAGCCTAGTAAAACGATCAAAAAATGAACATTGACTGTCACTGCTGTTACCTACGTGTCACAATCAAACTCTCATGTCCTTTCTGTCAGACATGACCATACTGTCATTTCTGTCACCTACGATGCTACATCCCTACTGCTGTCAAGTGTCAACTGGACTACTGTCATTACTACCAACCATTGACAGCATCTTCCAGCGACGCAGTAACGTTAAATCCAGCCACGATACTAAGTCCAGTCACGACAGTCGACACACTAAACCAAGTCACGACCCGTTTAATATGTCCATGCGTCGGAGTGGAGGTTCGCCCGGGTCGCTTCTAGAACGTTCCAACACGATTTCCCATGTGGGTACGTTCACTGCGCACCAACGCTGCCCGATCGGGAGGTCTTAGTCCGTAGAGGAAACTGTTTGGGTGAGCTGGTTTTAGCAGCTTTCAACAAAGGAAACATAGGGAGTGACTCGGCAGATTTTGATGATGGTGTTGGCAATGTTATTACCTGCGCAAACAATTCATGACTTCATCTAAACGTCTTCTTCAATTCCAGTCTTCTATGCTCTCTAGGGTAAGCGTTAAGGCGTTCTTCATGGAAACAAGAGCTCATCGACGCGCCAATTTTCCTGAAAGCCTACCGCACGGTTGTGTCGTTACGCCCATTTTGTCGTGTCGTTACAGTCGTTACAGAGAAAGGTACGCCGTGTCGTAACCTCACGTTTGGTGTCGTAACAACCACCGTCTGCTGCCGAGCCGTACCGTTAGACAGCCGTTAGGCGTACCTTTCTCTCGCCACACTGAAAGGCTGCCGTTTTATTTGCAGTAGCAGCAACGGCGTTTCCGACATTCTTATGATGGCAGCGATTCCGCATAAGCAATCTGGTTCCAACATTTCTTCAACATAGGCTGTTTATTCACTCCTAAAGTTCTCCCGAAAGAGCTTGAACAATTTTGTATTAGCAACTCATAAAATACGTCACATCAAGGAAGAACACTTGCCAGTGATCACAATCCATTTTCCAATCTCCCAAGTCACACTTTGCTGAGACTTTTGATGTTACAACGTTGAGCTGTGATCTTTACGTTTCTCTACCGAGCTTATAACTAAAACAAGGTAGAGGCCTACAGGCAATGTAAGAAAAACAATGCCTTTCACTTTCTTCAGGTCGGAATCCGGCATTCCCTCTCGTTTCGCTCGAATGGACCGGACTGTAGTGGATTCTCGGGACAGTTCGATACAACCATTGTCTTTGCCTCATATGGAGCACATACGGTCTAAGGAAATACGTTGCGAGATATGGCGCCCATAGCGGGTGCTCTGCGCTGCCATATGGAGCTCGCTGGGCTGCCATTTGGAGTTCAGATAGCCTAGTAAGCGGCTTGGGTGGGCCTGCGAACCTAGCGTACGTTATGTTGTGTTTGAGAGTGGCATACAACAGTTCTGGGGGGGGGGGGGGAGAGGCCAGGAAGACGATGCAAAACTGGTCTCATTGAAACGTGCCTGAAGTTGAACAAGACATAAGGGTAGCTCCGCTTAGAGATATTTTATCTTATCGATGGTTTAGCGTGAGATTTTCCTTCAACAAAAATATGACTCCTGAATGGAAGTCGTGGCCTAACTGTGCAGTAGGATCGACTAAATAAAACCATGCATTGCAATGAGCACTATTACATTCGGAATTGAAAAAAAAAATGAAATGCGTAGCCGTGGATGAGTCGTCTACAGGCGTATGCCGACGCCTAACGATACCTGACACGAGGATTACCAGTTTGCAGCAGATCTGGTAGCATCTGGCAGCTGATCAACTCACCTGAAATGAAAGAAAAGTCTGGCGTCAGTACGGCGCAACAGGTGGTGTGACGGAGCGCGGGGCGAGGTCAGAATTTTGGCGGACGAGACGGTGAAATGTTGGAGTGTGTCTGCAGAGGTTTGGTGGTGAAGAAAGTCAGGTGTGGGAGCTACAACCGTTGGCGATGGATGCACAAGGCTGACATTGAACAATGCGTATCTAAAAATAAACACACATGTGCCCTCAAATACAAAAATGATAAAACACAAATACGATCGCGTTGGCTCGATGAGAACTTTGTGGTACCTACAATTATAAAAAGTGGGAATCAAAGTTATGAAGAAAGATGTGTCTGTTGGCATCTGCAGATGGTGCACTTCACGTAGTGAAAACTAAAAAAGTACCGATGGTAGTGTTCCATGGCCGTAAAATGAGTGCATTGAAAGGGTAGCAGTTCGTGAGTTACGAGTATGATGAATGCATTACTCTGTCACAAGTCATCATTACGCTCACGAAAGCAAGGTTTGGGATTCATACTCATCATATAATGTCTTTCATCTTAGCGACATCTGTTCGATCATTTCCACGGTCCGGTCCTCAAGAAAGCAGCACGTCTGTTGGGGAATATAGAAGATATATATTTGTATAACCATCGTCAGCCTTATTTGGGTTTCAACAGATAAAAAAGCTGCAAAAGAGTCAACAGTTACAGACCATACAAAGACAGACGATTTACGAGACAGAAAACGTTGGTGATACATTATTTACCGGCTTTATGTGTCCAATAAACGACAATAATTTACAATACCTACACTTATTCTGCAATGTTTTGTTTTCCTTGTAAACACACATAAAAATATACGAAGCTATTAACTTCGCGTAATCGTCACTATGACGTCCATCATCTCCTTCCACAGACATCCGCTCATACCTCACCACTCTACCACCTCCCACGACTTCCACACCTCCTTTCACGGAACCCACATCACCTCTTCCATCGCCCTTTTCGCACACACTCTCACCCCCTCCTCCTCACTCCTCATCGCGTCTTCAAACACCTCGACATGTTCCCTCAACTTGTTCCTCGCCTCCGGGTGTGCCGCCAGCACCGCCAGCGCCTGGATAGCCAGCATCTGAGCAGCAGGGACCGCAAACTCTACAGCAAGATCGAGTAAATGTCGTAATGTTGGCAGCGTCACTGCTAGCTTCTTGGCAGGTGTGGTGACTAAGACACTACCCAGCGCAGCAGCGGCTTGGGTGCGTACAGCTGGATCCCAGTCCTTCAACAACGTCACCAGCAGGGGGATGGAACCAAGGACTGTGGCTTCATTTTTTCCTTGTGTGGGACGACAGAGGTTGTGCAGGCAGCTGGCTGCGCAGGCGCGGATGGAGGAGATTTCTGAACGGAGCAGTTTGTTCATCGTGCGAACTGCGCCGAGAAGAAGGCCGCGCTTCGGGTCCTGTCGGAAAAGAGGAGATTGAAAGAGGTAAGGATACTGGATAAGCGAGGGGGAGATGACGAAGCGTCTATGGGAGAAATATGATGCGGGTACGGGATATGATGGGGAAAGTTTTGAAAGATTTTTGAAAGGAATATGATGGGAATGTTTGGGAAGAGAGATGATGATAGGTCAGGGGCCTTGAGCTCTGCTCTGGGTTGCCGAGAAGCGAAAAATACGGGAGAAAGAAGGGATAAATTTCTACCATCTTCATACCCTATCGAGAAGATGGTAGGCGAAGCAGCCTGACGACAAGTAGAGAGGGAACTCAGCTTGGAATAATTATGGGTAGGCTAACGGCGAAATAATTATCGCAATAGCTCTCACTCTGGCCCCAACCCAGCCAGACAGTGTGTCTCAGCCCAGAGTCATCCAGCTGGATGGAACCGCCACCACATTTTAAGTCACCGGTATTTCCATTTCATCTTCCAGAAATCACATATCAAGCCCTCGGATAACACAGCCATGAGCTAAGACAACACCAGGTGTTCAAGGCGAGCAGGAAACACCATGTTGGACCCGCCCCCTCTCCAATACAATCATACTTCTGGAATGCTCTCGCGTCTAGCCGGGAGGGAGATCGTATCCCACTAACCCTGAAGGAATGCCTGCCGGAATTCGCCAGACACGTGACCTTACAATGCACGGAGCTTGGCAGATTGTTGGCAGTGTTATTGATACGACATTGACATAAAATTGGCAGAGCATTATCTTTTGACACGCCATTGGCACCGCTATTTGAAGCAATCGCGGCTATTTGAAGCAATCCTTACCGCCAATAGTCATGGACTGTGACAGAGAGAAGTTGTTGGTTCACTGAAAGAGTTTTTAGTTATTTTTCTTTTAAGGTTCAGCTTATGAGAACTCTGCAGTCAAGCTATGAATCTTTCTTTATCCACCAGCACTCTATCTAAGTCCTAACCACGTCCCCCAGCCCCCCTCTCTCTCTCTCCCCCTCCCACGCCCCTCCCCTCCCACTTCCCCTCCCTCTTCTCCTTGATGAAGCTGTTTCGCCGTGACATTTCGGCAAAGGTCACGGCCTGGACAGCTGAGAAGTTTCCCAGACCCGTCTGGCTGTACGCTGTGGTGATTATTGTCTCATCCGTCAGCCGCCCGGCAAACCACATTAAATCGGCGACATATTATCAGCGTGGAGGGAATTGAAGATATCAGAGGACGATGTAATGTTTAAAGGAAAGTTTAATAGAATGCTTATTTGTTCCTTTAGAACATTTATTCTATGGACGGAGTGAACTAGTGAAACTGACTTACTTGCTGGCTTGCTTTTGTTATCAGTGTAACATTTCGCCTTTCTCTTTCAGCAGAGAACCTATTCACGGGACAGCCTACACCACGTTTGGGACGATCAATGCTTCGTGTAACTGGATAGCGGATCACGAACGTCTGGCTCATTGAGTAGATCGTTTATTCGTAGATTTCGCTCACAAAGACATAACCTCCTCTCCCTCGCTCGAGAAGACTCGCCCATTTACAGTGCATCTGCCGTCTGTCCTCCCTCGCGAGGACTCCTATCACCTCCCGCTCGCTCGTGATTACCTACCCTTTCACTGAATATACCCTGACCTACCCTCACCTCTTCTCGTTAGCTCACAACGATCCATCCATTCGTGAGGTGTCTTCCTTTCTCGCGCTCACCCCTACCTCTTTGAGGAGCGGCTGTAGAGACCGTAGACAGAGCAGCACTATCTCCGGTAGTTCGCAGACCACCCTCTGGAGAAGGAGAGGTGTGAGGTTCACCTCCAGACCGGCGCTGACTCCTTCCGGAGTCCTCAGGAGCGACACGACCACCTGAGGGGTGAGGATGGGATGGAGTGGGAATGCCAGGTGGAATGGTGGAGGAAATGGGATAGAATGGGGATGGAATGGTAGTGTGAATGAGGTGATTTTTCAGCAGCCAGGCAGGCATCTAGTGATGGATGTGTGAATGCAATGGAATACAGGTGAAAATGAAATGGGCATGTAAATAAATATATGCGAACTTCCATGAGTCTTCGATTGGATACAGGAAGGTGCGCTTTTACTTATTTTGAACAAATCATGTTTTTGGAGTTCAAATATGTGCATGAAACTCCTCCTGGATATAATTAAAGTGGGCAGTAGCACGACTAAACACAAAACTCCGTCATTCTTTTGTTTCTAGCACAGCATCGCCCACTTTCCCGTTTACACTTCGGCAAACATCTCTTCATTAACCGATGCCTGATTGGGGATAACCCCACCTCTCGCTTCCCACGCAAATCTTCCCTCTCTCAGCATACTCATCACAGCAATTACAAACAAGAATCGTTTTCCAAACCACCTGTCAAGACCGTCACTGACACAACCGCTAAGTGGTCCCCCGTATTCATCATCCATCACCAAATCCCATCACTGTATCACCAAATCACTTCACCTGTCGTCAGCTCTGGAAGTCAGGCCACTTCGCTTTGAGGTAAACCCAACGGGAATACATAAAGGGCACCTTGCGCTTAGATAAACCATCCTTGAAAGTCTTCAACTACGGTAAACTAAGACGCGATAGCCTGAGGGCACCCTCGCGAGGAGTAAACGAAGCAGAAACTGCCAGTCATGGTAGCAGAAGTGCCTGTGAAATAAAGCCTCGTGGGCGGTATTTGTGGTTTGGCATAATCTGATGTCGGGTATTTTAGTAGGGGGATTTTCAGGCAGTGTTATCTTGCGGTTGATGGTTTGTTGTGTTGAGATTGTGTCTTCTTCGGAGGCGTCAGCTCAGCTACAATGGCGATGAAAAGCATAGATTTAGCATGGGAGTCCCTGGCTATAAATTTCGACGAAATCCTTGGCTAGTTCGTGTATCTTCATCACAAAAACTCACAAACAAAACGTATCATTATCACGTCGCCTCCTCACATCCTAACAATAACACACGCCCACATGCCTCGCGGACAACAAAACCCAGCGGCTGTCGCCGCACATATCAAACGCCTTTCTTCAATGACATCATCAGATATGTGAGGACGCCACGGGAGGCTAGCGGTGACTGCTCCAAGATGGCGGCGTGATGAAACACCAGACGGCGGCGCTGGCTTTAGGTCGTGACCAGCTATCAACGGTCGTGCCCCGCGAGTCGCGAGGTCCCATCAGAAATGACCTCATCCCGCCTGGGGTACGTTGGTAATCCGAGAATTATGAGCGGTCGTGTGGAAAGTGATAGGCGATGACATATTATGTAGGTATTGCAGACGCCGCAGACGCAACCTTGACTATGTGGGTGGCATCACTGGCGGTCGCAGCCGCTCGCAAAAGGGGGGGGGCCAAAGTCACACTCGCGGGACATAACATTTATCAGTCACCGGGGGGGGGGGGGTGATCGGCTAATTTTTTACGTCCACGAGGCGCCGCGCAGTTGGCATTACTTATGCTTCATCCACCTCATTCTTGCGTGAAATCTTTAAGCTCAATTTAAGGCAAAAGCACCAGTTCCATTTCCCGTCCCACGGTGTTTCCAGTTTCCACCGGTCGGGCCACTGCACCATGGCGACGGATCGGTGTAGCATATACTGGAAGGTCGGGCACGCGGATTCATGACCTTACCACAATAAAACAATTCGGAAAAGTACGGATACCTCTTGCTTTGAACAAGCATGTGAAACCCAGAGATCATTTTCAGACTATGACATTTACCCATATAGTTGTTTGGCGGCGGGAGAGAATAGGTACACCGACCTCTGGAGACCCCCGGCCCCACAGGTTCCTGGTTTTCAAAATTGGCATCTGAGGGCCGCGCACGACTCGCGCGGGGCCTCGCAACGGCTCTATTGGGGCTCGAACGGAGTCGGGAAGACGTAGATTGTGCTACCGAGGTGTGACTCGTATGAACGAACTTGGAGTAGAACCAGGGACATTGTCGTACCGGGCGAACATCCGAAAGGTGCTGCTGTCTAAGCAACAGACATGAGCAATAGCATGGTGGGTGCGTGTGTGGGAATTATGCGTGCTGCACACTGTTCCTCGTTTTGTATCACACTATCATGACGTGGACATGTGAAAAGCCTCACTATTGAGAGGACCTTGTCTGAATATATCTGTAATCTGTAATCTGTAATCAGTAATCACTCAACCTGCCTTATAGTCCTACTGCTAAAAAGACTGGCCCTGAGCCCTAAGGACTTCATCAGTCTCTGCCAGCCCCAGGACCCACACCGGCTCATGGGGTCCCGACGTCGAAATATGAGGGAATCTGCGCGGGACCATCAGGACGTAAAGTAATCTCGATCAGGACCAACGTACGGCTGTGCAGGAGTCTGCGTGAGCCCTGTGATCTTCAGAAGCCCACCCATGTATATTTTCACTTAGAGGCCAGTTTAGGGCCCTCAGAGACCAGTACAGGGCCTGCAAACTGCAAAGGCTAGTAGTTTGAGACCATCAGCGACCGAGTTGGGCTCTCGGAGGCTTATGTGGGTCCTACTCATTACAGGCCAACATGGGGCCCTCAGAGGTCAGCGTGGGGCCCTAAAAGACCGGAATGAGCCGTCGTTGGAACCCAGAGGCCAGCAGAGGGCCCTCAAAGGCCAAGATGAGCCCTCCTCAGAGGCCAATGCAGGCCCTTAGAGGCCAGCATCGGGTCTTCAGCAGCCAATGCGGGGCCCTCATTGGCACCTAAATGTTCGTCTTGGGACACCAGAGACAGCAATAAGGCCACTAGAGACCAGTGTGAGACCCTCAGACGCCGGTTGGGGCCCCTGAGGCCGGTAAGGGGTCCTCATAGGTCAGATGTGGAGCCTCAGAGGTCGATGTGGGCTCTTAGCGGTCAACGTGGGCGCTTGACCGCCACTGAAGTTCCCTCAGAGGTCAGTGTTGGACGCTCAAAGACCGGTGTGGGCGTGTTTTTTTTTAGCCTCGTGACGATCGAATCAGGGCCAGGGTCCCATACACCTATGGGAGCCCATCGGTTGCTTGAGGGGGGGGCAAATGATATGATGGCCCCCTTTATGTGCCTTGGGAGGGCATGGCCCTGATGCCCCCCGCGACCGCCACTGTGTACACATTACATACAGGCCTCCGAAATTACATAGGTACTAGCTAATGCAAACTCTATGCAGGCCCCGGAGATCCCACGCTAATCCTTAAGAAACCAAGCCGGCATACGGCGTCACCACCGGGCTTCTGAGGTGCACAGCACCAACCCATGAGGTCTTACTTTAGTGTCTTAGAGCCACGCTCCTTTGGCAGGGCCCACCCGCCACTGCCGAAGAGGTCTCATGCCAGCCATTGCTGGGCCTACGAGAGCCTCAAGTAAACCCACGCTGATATTCCATGTAAGATGCGGCCATACTCGTGAACCGGTGCCAGCGACGCTGACCGCCAAATTGACAGAATACGAAACTGAGGCCACTCATGAGTGAAATTTACGTCCTTTGATAGCGCAAGAAAGAAAATGAAACATACAAAAAGCTTTTCTAGGACTTTTGTTCGATCTGAAAGGTGGGGCCAAAAGATAGTATGGCCCCACCTTTCAGCCCCAAAGGGGGGGCCATGGCCCCCGTGGCCCCCCCCCCCTGGGACCGCCAGTGGGTGGCATTCAAAATGGGAATAAAAGGAATTATGTGATAACTAAATGGGCGTCCCATTTTATAATAGTGGTTCCTTGCATATTTTTCTTTTTGCATCTGTTTTATTTTTTGACCCACCTGAAACTACAAATCGGCAAAGTTAACGATTCCAGCTCACAAGTACCCAAAATGAATTAAAGATGAATATTTATCAACAAAAACTCATGTCTGTAATAACGTAATAAATAGGTGTCCTAGACTTGATTTGGGCCCTGAGACAAAAAAAAAAAACGAAAAGCATTGTACCCATGGAGCTACCTTGCACAACACCTCACCTTCCTCACACGTGCCTAACCTGATGGACATTCCTCCGCACCAGAGGCACCCCATCAGTAAACCTCCAGCTCAGATGTGTCAACACATCATTCTTCAGCAGGTCCTCCCGTCCTATAGCATGTCCAGAGATCACCCCGAGACACAGGGCGGCCTTCTGGCGCACCGTGGCATCGGTGTGCTCCAGTTGCCGGCAGAGCGCTGGGACGAGGTCTGAGGAGAGGAGAGAGAGGAGGAGGGGAGGTTAGGAGAGGATGGGGTGGTTGAGGTCAGGTAGAAAAGTTGCTTCAGAAGCTGCAGTTAGAGGAATGTAGGCACAGTTAAAGGTATACAATACATGAATAAGGGAATTAAAGTCAAATAAAGGCAGGGTCGAGAGAGGTGTCAAATGAACGTCAGAGAAAGTAAGTGCGAATAGAGGTGGACAAATACAGAAATAAAGTTAAGGACAGTTAAGGACAAATAAGAAGGTGCTGGTAGGTTGCAAGGAGACGTTTCAGACGAAACATGAGCCCATAACAAAACCCTAAGCGTAAATAATGTTACGGATAGACTAAAATGCTTCTTCACACAATAAAAACTTTCATCGTCTATCGCTAGCCCACCAGCCAAGCCTCGATGCCTCAACCGCCTTCAAATCGGCTCACAGACCCAAATGAACCTCTTTTCGGTATCATCATTACAATAAATCACGATGCAATCGGCCCTAAGCCCCTCATCAATTCACTACAAACACTCAGTTCTCGGCACGAGCGGCATCGCCCGGCGGAGTCGCAGCAATGAGGGTCAAATCGTGCCTCCGTGGAGAGGCCGGGATCCGGCCGGGATCCGGCCCCAGACAGGAATATAATGGTAAGGATGGTTAATGTTCGGCTCGTGACCTGACCTGAACATGGAACCTGGTGACGGTCAGCGAGAGAGCACGGCGCCATCCGTCAACAAGGCATCATCCGTCAATAAACGAGCAATCGTGAGTTAGCGGACGGCAGAGCTTTGAGATATGGCGGAGTGGTACGGATGGTTACGGAATCATCCGAGAAATGTCCGGCTGCATTTGGGTAATATTGTATAATTTCATTACCTAAAATGTTGTCTCTTATTCAAATGTTTATTTAATTTGCTTGTCATTTCTCTCTCTCCTCTCTCTCTCTCTCTCTCTCTCTCTCTCTCTCTCTCTCTCTCTCTCTCTCTCTCTCTCTCACACACTCTCTCTCTCCCTCTCTCTCTCTCTCTATCTCTTTTTCTCTCTAGCTCCTTCCTTTCCTCCGAAAACATCCGCTTCAGTTCTGTCCATCCATTCAGCACCTCTTTGACCACTCTTGTACAATTTATCCATGAAATCGTATCTTTACCGTGCCTCGGGTGGAAAATTCACAAGGCACTGACGTCGCCATCACTGCAACACATACCACACACAGTATAGAACGCTACATACGCGCTGCAAAAACTCGACAAGATTCGGTGAAGGCCGTTTGCAAGACGCCTCTTTTGGCAATATCCCTTTTAGGTACCGGTCTGCCCGGTCCGTCTAGTGAAGGGCGGGTAGGCGTGTCTGGTAGTGTTCTAACACGGCCTTCGTCAAGGAAGATCTTCAAGACGACCTTAGCATTGGAAGGGGTGTGGCCTTGACATCAGCGTGGCATAGTGATGACCTCGTCTGCTTACTATTTAGGAGTCTCTCTCGACTCTCCAGCTTGTCTGTGGATTTTCCAGCTCGTCTTTTATAGCTTCAAAAGTTCAACCTGAGGCCTCTTGCACCAAAATCCTCTTGCACCAATGCTCGGATTATTTTGCATCGTATGCCCAGTCCGATTCTCAAATGTAACAATTTGCGTGCAAAATTTAGCAAGCACATGTAGGATTATGTATTGGGCCATTGCAAACAAATTTACCCCCGTTAGATTAGCTTATTCTGAAACCGGTTTTTCGATTTTACCTAGCTAGGTAGTTTGGTGCAAGAGGCCTCTGGTCATTCGTCCAGGCTGAAGTTTTAACCCTTCAACTACGTTTTTTGACCCTTCAGCGCGTTTCTCTGGGTGACGCAAACACGTATTTCCTTTAGGCTCTTCTGCGTGCGACTTTTTTAAACGGTAGTTTTACGGACTCGTCAACTTTTCCATATCCTCTAGCCTGTCTTAATACCCTCCAGCTCGTACCTGTACTCTCCTGATCGTCTCAATACCTTCCCCAGCTTCTAACTGCACCCCTAAGCTTTAGTTTGTATCCTGCACCATCTAGCTCGTCCTTGTACCCCTCTGGAGCTCGTCCTATACTCATCTCTATACCCCAATGAAGCCACTCCCTGTACCCACTCTCAGCTAGTCTCTCTGCCCCCTCCAGCCTGTCCTCTACTCATCTCTATACTCCAATGAGGCCACTCCCTATACCCACTCTCAGCTAGTCTCTCTACCCCCCCCCCCCCTCCCCAGCTCGTCTCAGGACCTTCTAGATCCGGGTCACGTTCCAGGAATACATTCCGCGCCCGATAGACCCTGGAATACATTCCGCCGTCCGATAGGCGCTACAAGTGCGTCCCGTTATGGGGCACGGCAACACAGGTAGCAACTGACTCCGCTCGTCAGAGAGACGGGTTTACCCGGGCTAACCACCAGCACCTCAGCGGCCTGACAATGTGGTCACTGATGAAGGTAGCAACTGCGGCTCCCCTGAAGACTGCTTAGCTTGTTTGCAATGGGCAACTCAGCCGCCTGTGTCAATGTGGTAACTGACGAAGGTACTGCCCCGAAACGGACCAGCTGCCTCCCGGTCTGCCAAAGGTATCCCAGCAGCCTGTCATTGTGCTAACTGACGAAGGACTGTTCCGAGACGGGCTGACGACTTAGGCATTGATGCTGGTCTTGGGAGCTTGCTTTTGACATAAATCTAATAACCAGTAATAATTCGCATTTCAAAGCCTGTATCACAGCAGCCGCCACGTATGTAGCTCTCCGCAAGAGTAAAATCAGAAGCCAGCTGGATACGCTTCAACACTCTTGCACACACAGCCCACACGACATACATACATGCCAGCCCACCCCCAGCCCACTCAAGGCGGATGGCATTACTCAACAATGTGGGTGCGTCGCCCGCGCGAGCCATCTCAGATCTCCCACCTGGCACACGTCTGGGTGGCCAGCACCGCCACCCGATGGTCAATTCTTGTCACTAATGGGGGTGACAAGGGGCTGGAGTCACGACCGGGACTAGAGTCATGACCTGGACCGAGTCACGACCCGGACGGAGTCCGACTTGATGGGGAGATAGGAGGTGATATGGGGGAGAGATTGACATGGGTTAGGGATGTGGTTTGACCGCAAAGTGAGGTAGGGGATGACCTCTGTTATCCCCTAAAGAGTGCCGGGAGATGAGAGAAGACTGAAAGGAAAATTATGAGCGTGAGGGATGAAGTAACTTTTATTAGAAACAAAGCTTAAGCCATACCGCATTGCCCGAACATTCCCGGTAAACGTCCCTTGACAAACCCTTTAGCAGACTGCTAGGTGAGCTTTAAACATACCTATTTTAGAAAAGCAAGATGAACTGGTATTTGCCAAAAATAATCATAATAACAACACGCACCTGTTGCCAGGCACGCCGTGATCTGTTCAGGATCATGCAGGAAGTCACAAAGCGTGAAGAGCGTCCTCTGCTTCTCATGAACATCCCCGGTGTTCAGCCATCTTGTAAGTAGCTCCGGGGCCCACCGTCCAAAGGGCACGGGAGCCCGCGTCGGGTCGTGGGTAATGGGGTATTCTTCGGTGATCTGAGCGGTTGCCATGGAGATTCGCGGAAAGAAGCAAAGCTATGATTAGTCGACAGATTTAAAACAGGAATTTATGTTCGAAAGTGGAAGGTCATGGTCATGGTGGAAGGTTTACGTTATGTGGAGAAGAGTAAAAAGAAGTTTCTCGCATTTGAGTTCGATTGTGTGGCCAATGCGTCATTTTTGTCGAAACTTCTGCACATCAAACGTGCCTTTCTGCTATCGAAATCCTTCTCGGTGAAGAAATGCTTTCATCGGATAACGATAATCCAATGAGTTGTTCACATAAACGGACTGCGGTTCTTGGTATTTGTAACGCACAACAAACCGATACTGAGAAACCCGACCACAATGTTCCCTCGTCAGCGATGAGTCAAAATGATCAGAATGACCCCAGACCGAAAACAATGGACGAAATGGGAAAATTAACGAGCGATGATGACAAAGGAATCGAATCGAATCAGGGGGTGGCTGACTCATTTCTGAACGGTCACCGCTGGAAACGAAATGGTAGCTCGGTTTCAAGGCATATTGCAATGGAAATGTTAAATGCGTTTTGCGATGAATAACAAATAAGACCAAATAAGATTATAAGTATGAAGGTAACTGCATAGGTATTATTGCATTTGGATTTATCGTTCCATTAACTGTTCGATTCATGCACCCAACGCCCACCTGTTAGTAATTAATCTAATTTATTTCGTGGGATCACCACATCACACATAGGATCACCGGATTGGACACTTGCGCCTCAAAGTGGTTGCTGGGTGGCTTAGACTCCGCATTCCTTTTCCTCAGCTGATCTACCGATATAACCAAGTTTGGTCCTCAAGCGGCCATCGAGAACATTACTGATCCTCTGGGACAATCACATAGCCGCGAACTAGTAAGTTTCTAACGCGAAATGCGACATCATAGATACCTATCAGTACAGAACCGCAAAACCCCAGCAAGCGTGCAGTAACAATTATTTGTGTAGAAACTATAAAAATACTATGCCGATTGCCGAGGCAATTACTTCATGTGATATAAGCTGAGAGTAGGCCGAACAATCCCCTCCCTCCCCCTCCCTCCCGCCGCTCAGTTCCCACCGCCCGCGACCACCGCCGCGGCCATAGCAACATTACCATATCGGGTGCGCGGCGCGCTCATTGGTCCGTGCAGCAGGTGGGTTAATTACCGGCGGCCAATCAGCGATCACACCTGTACATAACTCCGCCCCCGGCCAGCCGGCCGCGGCAGCATGGCGGCTGGTCGACACCTGTAACGGTGGAATTTCCCACGGTGTGAATTTCTCACGGTTTGAGATTGTCTCGCGGTGAGAAACGGAATGCGTTCCGCTAACAGGAGGATGGTTTGATAGTAGTATGTTTGATGGTTTGATGTAAGAGATGTGAAATGCTGGGCTCATGAATAAATGGTTGTGCTGTATGGGTAGTTCGCTCAGGTACAAATGAACATACAAATGTAGTTCCTTGACAAAATTAGGCAAAGCAGGGACATTTTATGTCACTTTTTTGAAGGAGTGTATCGCAAAAGCATCCAAGCATGTTAATATCGAAATCATCGGGTCGAAATAGCCAATTCATTCCTATTATTTGCTATGTGGCCCGTGAATTCAAGCAATATCTGTGGTTTATATTTTGGCTGAGCTAAGTAGGATTGTACAAAATGAAAACGATATTCTAGACCATAAGAATTTCATTAAAATCCTCCACTCCCTTAGGTTGTGCATTTATTTGCATCAATCTAAAATCACCATTCTATCAGGGATCCATTTGAATTGCATCGCACCTCGCCAAGAAATCTCCATCGGCACCCGACGAGCACGTGACCTTAGAGGCCGCGACGCGTCCATCACAAGGACGACCACGTGACCTGGCCAGACCGCCTTAGAGCCGCCACTTTACATACGGCACGGACCCGGCGCATTCCGAGAATGTTTTGGACAAAAGCGGACAGTGCTCAGTCAGACAGGAATGCCAGGATGTTTATAAATATCTGGATTATATAAAGCATGTAACTTGTAAGTACCTAACTAAACAAGGCGATTCAACCAAATACGAAAAATAACAGGTACCAGCCGAACGGCTGAACTTTAATCTCTGGATAATAGACGTGCGCTGCCTATAATTTCTGCTTCATTTCTTTTTGTTCTTGAAGTGTGGTGTTAGAATAGGCTCTGTACCCTCACCTTCGGCGTCAAGCGTCTACAATTTACAATTACATACAATCCTTATGCTCAATACATTCACAACTTCTAGGGAAATTGTGTAACATAACCGACCACCATTCACCACAAGCGCAAGTGAAAGACAAACATGCCGGCAACAAATACCTTGTCACATTGCTGACAAATCACCTACCAAACCGCCTCATTCACGTGGCACCGCGCGTCCCGCCCCCGCCATTTTTCTGGCGCGAGTCTGGCGGCGGTGTCGGAGCGCGCGGTTTGCACCGCCAGGCGCGCGGTTTTGCAGCGCGCGACAGCCCGGTTTTGGCGGGAACTGATACATATCGATTCACAGCTGCGGCCCGGAGCTGATTCCGTTATAGTTAGTTCTGAGAATGATGGATGGGGCCTCCATGGGGAAGGTGCTAACGGCAGCGGAGGGAGGTGCTTTAGGTGCTAAGGGTGCTATCGGTGAGATGTGCTAACAATAGGTATAATGGCCTTACAGTTTATGTGTTTTTGTAGATTTATATAGTTTTACCTGGCCGTCAGTGATGTTTAATTCCAATATTACGATCAGTTTCAGTGTTATCAACAGGTAGCTAAACTGAAAGAAACTTGTCAGGATATCGTTTTTGAAACAATCGTTGCGTATCCCGTCTAATGACTTGCGGATATGCATTGCCACTGGATGGAATATCTAATGGGGGATATCTTCCGTAAATTCTCCAGAGAAAATCACGTATATGATGGACCGAAAGAGAACAATGATAATATCGCCGCGTTATGAAAACGCCTTTTCACTCTACCATATGACGTAATCCTCCTGACAGCTGAGCTGCCATATTTGACAGTACCTACCTGATTTAGCCCATCCTTGGGCACACCTTCTGTCTCTGAATATCGTCAAATCATGTTACAAACTGGTTCAGTCAACTGGTTCCGGCATAATAACTCATAAATACAAAATGAACCGGTCCAACAGCACAGGTGTTTGGAACAAATAGCACTCGGTAAGATCTCGAGTGGACCTTTGCCATATTAGGCACAATCAGTTCAACAGGAAGGCAACTGCTTGAATAACATAAGGCAGGTCGGGCTACCCACAGATTCAGAGTAATATCGATGGGTGCTGAAATGTGTTGACCACCTGGTGGTTGAAACTGTCTCTTTGCATTTGTACTTTGACTTATGATAATAAATTGATGCATGAATTTGTCGCGAACCTCTTCGAGCTTCAATTCGCTCTTGAGGCTCGGCATTCTAACCCTTCCGTCAAGGGCTGGCGCCACAAAGTTCCTTTGGGGTAACGTAATGTCAGTACCATTGGTTCCATTATTTTTAATCTTTTGGGCATGAGTGAAGACATGATGATAAAAAGGTTTTCACATCAATTTTGACTATCATAGTTTCATTACATCGAGATCACCATAAACGTATTGTTTCAAATCACGTTACTCGCGTGTCAATGCTTCTAGCGCTTCTCTTTGCATCCGCAAAGGGTCTCCCCTCTTGGCTATCAACAAGCATTCCTTTTCTTCCCTACATTCCCTAACCTCATTCCAACACGACGACATTCCATTCCGCACCAGTCCAGACATCCCTCCCCCTACAACCGGAAGCCCAATCCCATTCCTGCCACCATTTTCATTCAGTGATCTGGGTTAACGTCTTCAGTGACCCTGTATGCGACCCTGCTGCAAAGCCACCCCCTCAGCCAGGGGAGGGGGAGACAGTTGGGCTGATTGAACAACGCGTTACGGACGGTCGGCTAGTCACGTGATGTCTGCTGTGCTGGAGACGGCTGGTCACGTGGTGGCGGCAGTGCGGGAGGCGGCAAGTCACGTGATGTCTGCAGTGCTGAAGGAGGCTAGTCACATGACATGTGCAACGCTTCACGTTAGGCAGTACGTAAGGTCGAGTTTGAAATAGATAGTAGGTAAGATGCGGTCCAACAGCTAAAGCGAGGCTCATACCAGTGTGCCTTTCACCTTCTCGATTACACCTACTAGTTTTGATGCTGCATGTTCCAAGAAATTCTGTGAACTTAATTAAGATGTGACTGAAATAATCCATTAAAATTTGGGAATTTCGAATTCATTTTGATAGTAAACAGTTGCAGATTGCAGCAAAAGAGTAGAAGTGATTTCCGATCGATTTCAAATCGATTTCCAATAGATTTCCAGCCGATTTTCAAACCTCTCAGTCCCTTGGGGTTATATCTGTTTAGTCTACAACGTTACCTCCCACCTCGGTCGACGACCCCCGACACTCTCTCTTCTCCTCCACCACTCTCTCTCCTCACACATGTCATCACCAGACGTCTGCAGAGGACTTGCAGATGACTCCCACATGCACACAGACACAGACAGACATACAGACGCGTGTGTACGCACGTGTGAGTATTGGCTGGGTAATACGACTACGGTAGTGTGCGTGAGTGGGTACGGTGGTGTTGACGTTTATGAATCACCCTTGCAACAGGCAACGGAGATAAAAGGAAGGAAAGGAAGAATTGACGAAAGGAAGAAGGGAAGGATAGAAAGGAAAGTGAAAAAGATGGATAGATGAGAGATGAGGGAACCAAGGAATCAAAGGTTGACAGAACAACTGGAAGAAAGTAAAAAGGAAGATTTTTGGATAAAAGGGAGGGAAGAAAGAGAGCAAATAGAGGAAAAGAAATAATGATGCAAAATGACGAGAGCAAGGAAAAGGCTGAGGGAAATAATTGATATTCCACTGTAATTCCTTTGCATGGGGAGTGAAACTACGGTTAGGTACCAATTCAGCTTAGCCATCCCTAACCTCTCTATAAGACGAAAGAACACTGAAACAATTAACCAAATATAGAGCGCTCGATAAAATCACTTCAATCTCGCTCTCCCTTATTTGGCTCCAGCTCCGTCCACAGCTGTGGCCGGCCAGAGGTCGCGATCCCTTTCGCTGACACCGCCTCGACCGCGACCCAAGGTTACGTGACCTCTTGACCCCGCGCGCTCCTATTGTTCG